ATCGATCGAGTTTTGAAAATTGATTTATATGCTCTATACCAATCACAACAAACTAACTTACAATTATTATATTTTACTTCTAATAATGTTATTCTCAAAGGAAGATACATCGATAATATTAAATATGTGATATCATATATTAATTTTGGTATCTTTTTATTTCTTTTAATTCTTTTCTTTCGTGGTAGTTTAATTTTTTCTCTTTTCTGTTCATTTAATGAATGTGATTTTCCTGGAAATTTTCCTATTTTTCATTTTTAATCATTAAATATTTAATTTCTTTGTTGGTTATATTTATAACTAACAAAGTTACACAAAGATTTATTTTTCACAGATAAATTTCAAACTTTTGTAGAATCTTTCTTCATCTTTAAATTTTTCATATATACCCATTGTATTACGTTCAATCTCTATAATACTTTTTTTGAAACCTAGCTTTGCAGATTTTTCAAATAAATTAAGCATCAATCCTTTTTTTTTAAAATATTCATGACAAGTTCCTAAATGATATAAAATAACAGGATAACTTCGTTTTACTTGATTCTTTGTTATATGTTTTGAATATTTCTTCTTCGTGATAGAATAAAGACTTTTTTTACAAAGATTATAACTTTTTCTACAAATACCAATATTATTTTCAACTATCATAAATTTTCTAAAATCTTTTTTCGAATATCTGCAATATTTTAAAAATGATAAGTATGTAATACAATTTCTCTGTAAAAATGTTCTTAACCTTTGTTTTATATCATAATTATAACCTCCTTCCCATTCAATATCTAAATATATTTCATATGCTTGATTGAATAGCTTTTCCATTTTTTTATGAATAATATAATTTTTTGTTGGTTATATTTATAACTAACAAATAAAAGATTTCTATCTAAAAGGATTATATAAAAATATTAATCTACCATCAAGTATAGGTACATCTTTAATATTGGTTTGTGATATATCATAAGAATTTACTTCTAGTTTTTTAAACTGCTTATTAATCTTGTTTGGATATTTGATCTTGTAACAAGATTCACAAATTTCATGTGAATGTAAATATTTCTTTGGTTGTGTACAAGTTTTACACATACCATAATTATGAGAAGTATCAAATTTCTCACAGTATATATATAATCCAAAATCTTCTTTGTCACAGATCTTACAATTCATAGTATCATAATGATTTATACAATATTCAAGCTTCTGGCAATATTCGCAATTCTTTTTGAATAATTTTTCTAACTTATCAATATCGTATCTGTAAATAAATCCAATACGTGTTGATAAACCTCTACAACATGGAACTCCTTCATTATCTCGTTCGATCTTTCTTTTTTCTCCATCTATAAATATAATAAAATTATTTTTTACACTTTTCACTTTGTATGTGATGATTTTTAAATGCCCAAGATATCCATAAAATCCATGTTTGTTTGGATTAACTAAATAGTCACCATGCTTTAATAAAACAAATTGAAATTTTTTACATATTCGAGCAATTTGTGCTTGTTCTTTTGGTGTCAAATAAGAAAAGATTTCAAATAATGCATCAAGAGTTAATATGTCCATCTTTACAGAATTAAGATGATGAGTGGTAAATAATAATATTTACTACTCATCGATAAAACTACTATATGAATATTTTACAAAATAAATATCCTCGTTTATCTAATTGATGTAAATATTTTTTTCTTCATATTTATAACTAACAAATTCTTAAGATTCTTTAAAGAAAAAAAGTAATCTATCCTCAAGTTTTTTATATGGTATTACTTCAAGTTTTTTAAACCTCATATTAATTGTGTTTGGATATTTAATCTTGAAACAAGATTCACAAATTTCATGTGAATGAAAATATATCTTTACCCATGAACAGGTTCCACATATATCATAATTTTTAGTAGAATCAAATTTCTTACAGATTACACAATATCCAAAATTGTTTTCACAGATCTTACAATTCATAGTCTCAAAATGATTTATACAGTATTCAAGTTTTTGACAATATCCACAAATCTTTTTGAATAATTTATCAAACTTATCAAGATCATATCTGTAAATATATCCAATTCCTGATAAACTTCTACAACATGGAACTCCTTCATTATCTCGTTAAATCTTTCTTCTTTCTCCACTTTCAAACATGATAAAATTTTTCTTTACATTTTTTACTTTATGGATAGTAATTTTTAAATGCCCAAGATATCCATAAAATCCATGTTTGTTTAGATTAACTAAATAGTCACCACGCTTTAATGAAACAAATCGAAATTTTTTACATGTTCGAGCAATTTGTGCTTGTTCTTTTGGTGTCAAATAAGAAAAGATTTCAAATAATGCATCAAGAGTTAATATGTCCATCTTTACAGAATTAAGATGATGAGTGGTAAATAATAATATTTACTACTCATCGATAAAACTACTATATGAATATTTTACAAAATAAATTTTACATTCATTACAAAGATGATGATTATGAAATGTATATGAAGTATTTTTATGTATAAAACTCGTTGTCAGCATACAATCTAAGACTCCACAGTAATTTAGTTCATGACCAAGACAAAACTGATAATTAAGACAATACGTAAATTTTCCACATCTCTTACAAGTACTCTTTCCATAATTTTTTAACTTATCTCTAAGAATCAATTTAAAATATCTGTTGTTACAATATCCTCGTCTATCTAATCGATATTTTTTTTTAATATTTTTATATAAATAAATCACTATGTAAATATTTTTTTCTTCATATTCTATTCTAAACTGATAAGATATTGGTGGTGCTAATGTATATTTATTGTATTTTTTTATCAAAGCATATTTTGTTCCTCTTCTTTTAAAGTAGTCACGATAGATATTACACCATTCACGACAAACTAACTTACAATTATTATAACTTACATCATAAATAGTTATCTTTTCAGGTAAATATAACGATATTATAATATATAATATTTCTTTAGGTAAAATATTATTTATAGATTTCTTTGAATCCATTTGAACAAATAAAATTAAAAGTGGTAAATAAATATTTACTACTTTTTCTGTCGTTTTGATATATTTACAATTTCATCATCTTCATTATCTTTCTTTCTTTTATCATTACTATTTGGAAAAAAATTTTCTATTCTAGCTTGTTTTAATTCTATTAAAGATGAATCATGATGTTTTTTTTGTCGTTTTACAGTCAAGATATTATATCTACCATCAAGTTTCTTTCTCTTACAATCTATTAATCTCTCATCATTATATTCTCTGTCAATTTGTTCTATTAATTCTTTAACCTTTTTATCATCTGTTCATATCAAACCAGCACATATATCTATCAAACTATTAAAATAGTAAGCTATATCTAGTTTATGATTTCTAGGAGGATTTGGATCAAAATATGAATATTCTATCATCTTTTTTGATATGTTCCATTTTGAATCACCTTTAAATTTTAACACATAATAAAATATTCGACCATATTGTATAATTATCCCTTTATCTTTCATATTTTCTACAAAATCTATCATCATCTTATTTTCTTTCTTTGAAAATGCTGGCTTTTTATTTTTTATATCTTGTTGATTTATTAAATCTTTTATAGTTACTCTTTCATCTGAAGGATTATATTTTCCAGTAAGTTTGAATATTTCTATATCATGATTTCTTACTCCCTTGATATTTTCTGTTATAATATCTGTTACAATCTGTTTAGGAATAATATTCTGTTCAGATATTTGGTTGTTAATAAACCCTAATGAACTCCAAATCATCTCTTCTGCGATTATCTTGTAAAATGCTGATGTATTTCTCTTTACTATTTTCAACCCTTTAAGAAATAATTTAGGATTGTCAAGATTAGGTTTATTTTCATATACACAACCACAATATTGCTTCTTGTGTAAAAACAAAGATGGATATAATGTTTTCTCATATGCCATCTTCATATACGAGAGTCTTGTGATTTCTTTCAGATATTCATTTACTTTTTTTTCTAACTCGTAAGAATATTCAATTGTTTTTTCTATCTTTTTTGACCAATATAATTTTTTATCTTTGGTTTTCAAATATTCTTTGTCGAATTCTGAGAAATTTTCTTCTGGTATAGTATAAAATACAGAGTCTGTATCTCCGTAAATTTCCTTACAACCTATTGATTCATGATATAAAATTACTTTTTTTAATAATTCTCTAGCATATGCTGTCACAGATGATGAAACTGATTTTTCATATAAAGGAGAATGAACATATCCAGTTTCTCCATATATTGCATTTGCTAATACTTTCAATGCATTAGACTTTGATGTATAATATGCTAACAATCTCAAATCATTTTTAAATTCTTTTATTTTTTTCTTTGCTTCAGTTCTATCTTTTAATAATCTCAAACTCATAAGTGGCATCAATCCCATCTTCTCTTCTTTATCATTATGTTGTTTAAACTTTGCTACTATAATATCATTATCATATATTATATTTAAATCATGATCAGTTGAATTAATATCTACTAATGTTTCTTTGGATATATTCATCGTGATCATAACATGTGGATACATCGAAGCAAAATCTAAATCAGCAACTGGATCTGATACAGTTAATCGTTCATTTATGATTCTCTCATTTTTTTTTAGAGGTAAAACCAAACCACCTGAATACTTTTGTCTTGTTATAACTTCTCCTTTTCGTATCATTGATATTAACATATCTCTATTTGATACATTTCTTCCATAAAAATTTCTTACTAAACAACCTACACCATTCATGAACACATTTGATATCGTAGTACATGTTAAACTTGCTAATTGAACATAATCTTGAAAAATATTACGTTTCAATAATAATTCTTGACACCTTATCGAATCAACTGAACAATAATATGCTATCTCAACAGCATATTCTTTCAGAGTTAATTCATCTACAGTCAATGCTCTTAAACATTCTTCATAAGGTATATGTACTGAATCTGATAGTTGTTTTGATATTTTCTGCAAGTACTCGATATTATCTTTAAATTTTATCGCATTAATATATACATACATTGATCTTATATCATCATCTTTTGGTATATAAGGTAAATCTATCTTTCCTCCAAGTCCACAACGTTTCAATACCACATCTAACGTATTTGTTATCTCTGTTTGAAAAGTTTTTCTTGCCCATGTTAACAGATCAAAAAATAAAGTACCTGGTTTGTTTACATATATACAATTCATTTTCTCCATAGGATTTGTCTTGATATCTCTACTTCGTATATTAGGATTAATACTCATTTCTGAAAATTCATAACGTCTCATTCTTTCTTCTAAATCTGTATCTACAACCCTAATATCTTTCTCCATGATATGGTAGAATAAATCTTTATCTTGAATCTCTTGTTGTAAAATAATAGATACAAATTCATTTATTATATTATATGTTAATGCTTTTTCTAACATAAAATTCCAATCATATCCTCCTGTGTTATATCCTATCTCAATATCAGGATTATAATCACTGAATAACTTTGCAAATCCTATCAATAATTTTTTTTCTGTTGCAAATTCCAAAAACTCAATATCATCTGAATATTTTTTTGCAAATAAAGATTTGTCTATCGGTATAGTTGTCAAACAATATCGTTTCAAAGGTTTACTTGAATATATCCAATAAAGATCAACTTGTATCATGTAAACATAGGATGTAAATTCTTTTCCTAAAGGAAAGAATCCTGGCCCTCTCGTCTCTGAGGTTTCAATATCCCATGATAACAGTAATATCTTTGGGATTTCTGTATAATCATCTCGTCTCTTCAGATCCTTGAATTCAATTTTAT